CTAATCACCATTTAATGCCTACAGCCGAAACGCCATTTTTCCAACGTGAGAGGGCGACAGTTACAGGCTGTGTAGAGGTATTTTGGGCATTTCGTGAGGGGTTTAAATGGAGTTACGCCTGAGGATTCGTTTTGGAGGCTGGAAGAAAATCGCGGAGCATTTTGGGAGCAAAACACCCGTTAAGAAGTCTTAGGGGGAAACACATTTTTTTTGTATTTTGGGGCCCGGAAGCATTTTTCCAATAATAAAACGATAAATTAAGGAGTTCAAGCGCCGACTGCAGCCTGGCGTTGTCTTTTTTTTTAATTGCTAGGTCCCGGCCTCGCGGATTTGCCAGTCTCACAAAACCATGGACGTCGCAGCAGAGAGGAACCCCTCCCTCGGAGATGAAAAAACCCTAGAATCCCTTCTACAATCGTCCAAAACCCTAGAAGGCCGCTCCCATCTCGCCTCCTCCCTCTCTCTCCCCTCACTCCTCCAACTCCTCTCGCCTTCCTCCCCCCTCCTCCTCCCCCACCTCCGCCTCCTCCGAAACCTCTGCGCCGGCGAAATCTCAGTCCAGAACTGCTTCATCAAATCCAACGGCCCAGCTTACATCGCCTCAGCGCTCCTCGGCCCTCCCCGGGCCCCACCGGAGGCTCTGAGGGCCGGCCTGCAGGTTCTGGGCAACGCGGCGGGTGCTGGACACGTGCTGTTCGTCTACCGGAGGCAGGAGGAGGTTGAGGGAGCTTGTTGGGGACGAGAGGGGATTGGAGATTGTTGTGCAAGTTATACGCACCGTTTCCTCAGGTTCTTTTTTTTTTGGATTTGATTTGTTGGAGATAAAGTTAAATTTTCTCTGTTTCGTTTATTTCATTGCGTTGGATTTTCCGTATTTTAGGACACGGGTTATTGAAATGAACGATTCTGGGTCTGTTAAATTTGAGTTTTTAGGATGCGGCTTACGGACGGAAAAGATTTTGGGTGTGGTATAGGAGATTATACTTCATTTGCCTATGCTAGTTCGATTGAGTTGATTTCTTAGAAGCTTTTCTGCTCCGGTTTCTGCATGTTCTTAGAAGTTGTCTAACGAGCAATCCACCCTGTAATCTTAGTCATTGTTGTCTTGTTTTTGTTGCAGAGGGATATCAGGAAGAGTGGTTGGAATGGTTTCTTATTAAGCTCTGCGTTGAGGAGTCGAATCTCTCTCAGTTATTTGCGAAGTTGGGTTCTTTCGATGTTTCGGATATGTCTGGTATTTCTGAATCCGGAAGCATAATGCTCAACACTGAGCAAGCTTTTCTGTTTCGAATCCTGTCAAAGTGTTTGAGTGAGCGGCCTCGTGAAGTGATGGTTACCAATGAGTTTGCTCTTGAAGTTTTAAACATTCTGAAGGAATCTTGTGGCACTGTGGATTTCAGTACTAGAAGCACCTCCGAACTTCCCACTGGTTTCCCTGAAATTGATGTTTTTGGGTACTCGCTCCTCATATTAAGGGATATTTGTGCTTGGGAGAACTTTTCTTCACCAGGCACTGAACCTCCTGTTATCTCACTGCTGTCCAACGGCATTATAGAACTTGTTTTGAGTTTTCTTCGTGACCTTGAACCCCCAGCAATTGTGAAGAAATCTATCGAGAAAGCAAATCAGCAAGGAGTGCAGATGATTTCCACTGATATGAAGGCTTGCCCTTACAGAGGGTATCGAAGAGATTTGGTATCTGTCATTTGCAATTGTCTTCGTGGTAGGAAGCAAGTTCAAGATGAGGTGAGGCATAGAAACGGGATTCTGCTGCTATTACAACAATGTGTTGTAGATGAGGATAATCCTTTTTTGAGAGAATGGGGACTATTGGCAACATCGTACCTATTGGAAGGAAATCCGGAAAACCAGAATGAGGTAGCTCAACTTCAGATGCAAGAGCCTGTCCAGATGCCGGAAATCACTAACCTGGGTCTCAAAGTGGAGGTAGATGAAAAAAGTGGACGTGCAAAGCTGGTTAATACAGTGGGTAAGTCATCTCTTTAGGTTTTTATGCCGCTCATTAACTGTTTAAATTCAGTGTCATGTGAAAAGTGTTACTCTAATCTGTTACACATTACATGTCATCCTTTTGCATTTGTTGACTGTTTTTATTTCCTGACAGTGTAAAATCATAAAATTTTTAAAGCATTATTTGATGAGAAGGCGGTGACATTGTTTTAAATATCCCCGACATGGCCCGATATATCCTTTTACAGGGTTTGCCGCAACCGATATGGTCTTTAAATATCCTTTACCGCTTTTTGGCTATTTTGAGTGATAAATCCCCGATATGGCCGATATATTAGCCGATATGTGGACCAATATATCTTTTTATATAGCTTGTTGCAAAATAATATACCATGTTTGGAATTTTTGGGCGAGATATCAAGATTTCCCCATTATATCAAATGACATTTTGCCCTTCAAAAAGCAGATCGAATGTTGCAACGTTGCTTTGCACTTTTGTTTGTTTTAGAAGGTTGATTAGTGATCCTAAACATATATTATTCATATTTTGTATGCTTAAATTTCATTACATATGTTGAGATTACATTTTAATGCATTATACTATGTATGCAAACATTCATTATGACATTCCGATATTTACCACATATCCCCGATATTTCCCCGATATTTCCCCGATATCCGCAATCCGATATGAATTTTGGTCATCCGATATTTCCCCGATATCCGATATTTAAAACCTTAGGCGGTGATGCATATTGGATATTTAGATGGGTTCTCCCAGTTCATAATTGTAATTCACTTGCATGTGTATGAAGTATCAACCAAATATGGTTTAATCATTAATGTAACATTTTAGACCGTGATAATTTTGTAGACCGTGATAAAGTTGTATGCTCACCATAACGAGAACATAAAACGATTTATTGTTGAAATTATTTTGTCAGAGCATGCAAGTCAATTCGTACTTTTCTATTTGGTTCTTTCACTTCCGCAAGACTGAATGACTATTCTGGAGTTGTAGTGGCAGTATCCTACTCTATATTTATTAGAACTGGAAAAGATGTAAAGAGTAACAAGAAAAGTTAAATTATCAAGTGTCCTTGCATCACAATGCTAAAGCATTTATCTTATGAGCAACTAGTTTGAGGTTCAAATCCCATTTGCACTAGGCTACTGTGTTAGTGGGTTGTTTGCACACACTCACATAGGCACACACATGCACTTACATCCTCACAAACGTCCAAATCGACATAGGCTCGCACAGCCACACCCAAACACCCACATAAATTTGTACAAATAGGAACAGTCACTGACATGCATATACACCCACAGAGCCATACGCATACGCATGCCGGTCCACACGTCCTATACACAAACACATGCACAGAAAAGAAAAGACACTGGTGGTAACACCACACTGAATGGCCCCATCTGAACAGTAACTGACATAACCTTGGCATGTCAGTGCATTGCACCTTGTGCTATTGCCAGACATGGAACCTTATGGGAATTCTCGGTTGAACCCAGTTGAAAATTCGTATAAATCACACAACCATGTGCTATTTCTAGGTTGAGCAGAGGAAATGATGTTGGCTAATGTAATCTTTTGCTATTTTTTTGCATCACCGTTAACCAGTTTTGAATTAGAGAACTGATGTAACCTAGGTTACATGGACACTTCGTTTTGGGTGTAGTATTTGTGCCGGACACGTGTGGTTCAAAGCAAAACCCGACTTTTTCCACATAAACTTGTACAAATAGGAACAGTCACTGACATGCACATACACCCACAGAGCCATACACATACGCATGCCGGTCCACACGTCCTATACACAAACACATGCACAGAAAAGAAAAGACACTGGTGGTAACACCTCACTGAATGGCCCCATCTGAACAGTAACTGACATAACCTTGCATGTCAGTACATGAAACCTTATGCTATTGCCAGACATGTAACCTTATGGGAATTCTCGGTTGAACCCAGTTGAAAATTTGTATAAATCACACAACCATGTGCTATTTCTAGGTTGAGCAGAGGAAATGTTGGCTAATGTAATCTTTTGCTATTTTTTTGCATCACCGTTAACCAGTTTTGAATTAGAGAACTGATGTAACCTAGGTTACGTGGACACTTCGTTTTGGGTGTAGTATTTGTGCCGGACACGTGTGGTTCAAAGCCAAACCTGATTTCCCCATTACATATGACCCTAAACTAGTTTCTTTTGTATATCGAGCTAAAAACCAGTAGGTTTTTGAACCTTAAAACAGAAACCATTACTTAAAGCTTTGAAAAATACCCATCATATCCCATGCTACCAAAATGAACCTTACTTCTTTGTTTGATTTAACTTGATTCTTAATTATTTTAGATACTTAGTAAAAGAAACATACAAATGTTATAGCCTATAGGTATTTTAATTTAATGGACACTTCGTTTTGGGTGTAGTATTTGTGCCGGACACGTGTGGTTCAAAGCCAAACCTGATTTCCCCATTACATATGACCCTAAACTAGTTTCTTTTGTATATCGAGCTAAAAACCAGTAGGTTTTTGAACCTTAAAACAGAAACCATTACTTAAAGCTTTGAAAAATACCCATCATATCCCATGCTACCAAAATGAACCTTACTTCTTTGTTTGATTTAACTTGATTCTTAATTATTTTAGATACTTAGTAAAAGAAACATACAAATGTTATAGCCTATAGGTATTTTAATTTAACATTTGATCTAATGTAGATATTATATATACATGTGTCTGTGTGTCTATGTGTCCTTGTATCCTGCCTTTTACAAAGTTGCCATGCCCCATGTCCGTATCCATGTCCGTGTCCTCCCTCGCGCCCATATCCGTGCAACCTAGGATGCGACCAGATTCAAACTAGGAATAGTGGATAGTGCCATTTCCAATGCTAAGTGGAAAACAGTTTGCTAAGTTCATTACTGCTATTCACACTGTAAATGTGTGATTGTGATGGCAGGAGGTGGTGGAATATGTAAAGTTTTGATGTTGATTAATGAAATATTAAGTTTTTCTTTAACAATAGCATAAAGTGGCTTGAGTGCTTGTTTCATACTCAGTCACGTGGGGGATTGATATACTCGTGCCAAGAAATGTCTCAAAATCCTAAGTCTATCCTTTATAGGAATCCACATACAGTTAGATTCCATCACACCTATTCAAAAATATAAATCCTATCTCTATTATTCAATGCCCAAAGTGTAAGCGTAATGTTGTTTACCAACATGGAATCCACTTCCCTCAAGTAGTGCCCTTCTTGGTTTTCAGGCTGTGCTTCATGTCAAGACAGCAGACAAATTGCGTTTAAGCACGATCAGCTAGAAATCCAATTGATTCCAACATTTCCGACACAAACTCACTTTGGTGTAGTGCTAATCCATACATTTGTGGATATACTTCCAACTGAATGACGTGTTCATATTTTCAAATGCATACAATTGCTTAGACTGCATACCCCGCAGGAGTACCAACTACCAATCCATACATTTGTGAATATACTTCCAACTGAATCACATGTTCATACTTTCAAATGCATACAATTGCTTAGACTGCACACCCCGCAGGAGTACCATACCAAACTCCCATAGACCAAGCCAATATTGTTTCTCTAAAATTACACCTTTAATAACAAGAGTCGGGATATCTCTAATTCCTCAAAATAGTGATTCCCAGAAAAATTTCTTTTACTCATGCTTATACTTCAATAAGTGGGTTCCTGTGAATATGGATTGTATACAGGCGATCTCCCCTCTTAGAATAAATTTAAATACAGGATCAGATATTTTTCCAAATGTGTCTTTTTGGTGATCATATTTTTCATGGCCATAGAGAACATATCAAAGTAGCAATTTCGTGACTAAAGTTTTACACTTCTTTTTCTTATCATTTAATGCAAACCTTCTATTATTTCTATTAAGTCTGTTGTACTCTTCTGGTAGTTATAAGCTTATAATATGTTTCTAAACGAAACTTTTAAGTCACTGGTATTTTTTTTCAGACCACTTATAGTTTCTATTGGTTATGATTGGCTGTAATTTTTCGGTATTCTAAAAAGTTTCTGCAATACCTAATAACGTTCTGGTGAAATTATATATATTACTCTATTTCTTATTCTTTTTATCCCTTGCACTACATTATTACAACTATTTGCCTCTGGTATAGCTTCCTTTGAAATGAATAGATATCACTTGGGTGCTCAGATAAAGTTATTCAAGATGTTCGAAATCCCAATCTCACATGACATAGGTATTCAAATTACTGACACTTTGGATTTTCCACTGAAGTAACAAATCTGAAGTCTTGGGGGTAAATCAAACTTTGATTTCTTGGAAAGATATAACCTGAATTTCCTTTGCACATTGTTTGATACTCTTGTATGCCAGTCACTTTATACCCTTCAGATTAAATATATATTTGGGGTTGTAGTAATCTTAGCTGCACCTTGTCTCCATTTTATGCTGATGTCAGTCTTCCTTCCTTCAGGTGTTTTAGATTTCCTGGTAACTGTTTATCATTTGAAGTTGTAGGTCTGTCTCATGTTCTTTGACTTTCAGTGACATTTCTTCTTCAACTTATCTTAAACTATTTATACACAAGGCACTTCTTAATTTGTTCATAACTTCATATTATCTAGTACTGTCAGATCGATGTGTTTGGAGATGGTAGGATGGCCTATTAGAAGTTCCTTGTCGTCATCTACTGTAGAAAATTAAAAAGATTCCCTCAAGCAAAGTGATTTAGCCAGCACCAGAAATGGTCGATTTTGTGTATTCAAAGTTTTATGACTGGTGTAATTTGTTTTTGAACGCGCAGGATGATGGAACCATCAACAACCTTGAAAGTAGAAGTCTCAACACTTGGAAGGTGCCAATCTCACAATTACTGTGGATGATAGATAGTGAAGTAGAACCGTCCTCCGGTGCATCAATATGGGTGCATGTGATAGCTTTAGGCAACAACATGGCGCCTCATATAACGGAGAATGGAGAAAACCGGTTCTTAATGCAGTAAAACGCCATCCATATTGTGCAATTTCATGGGCTTGCGAAAATATGCTCAACACGGAGTGGATCCGCTGTGATGTTGGAAAAACAACAGATTTCTGTCGTGAAGCCTTCTCATGATTTGATTGCAGACAGATTGGCGGATCAGAAAGATGATTGTAGTCTTATAGCAGACTTTTATTTAGTTGAATTAATTTATTTGGAATCCAATTGTATCCTGAATTCTATAAACTGAAGAAACAGTTACGGTATTATCTTGTAGCTTGGGATGGTCTACAGAACTAGGGAACAAGGGGATCTGAATATTGTTAATCTCTCTGAATTAGATGATGCTTTGCTGTTTGGCCGATTTGGAGGGAGCACCAATCATCAATGTCTAATATGAAGAAAGCTTGATAAAGATGGATGTTATAGGAGTGATCATGTCCAAATTTGGGGAAAGGAGACGGCAAGATACCTGGGAGGCTATTATTCTTGACAAAAACCATAGCAGATGGTATTTTTTATCCTTTAAAAGCTTCTATAAACGTCTAAGAAATTTCGTCCATCTCTAAAATTCTTTGTGCTGTGTTTGACCTTTGAACGTTAAAAGACTTTTAATTGGTTAGTCATCATAAATGAAATTATAACTGATCCAGAAGAAAAGAGTGCAACTCTGAGTATGCTCCTCGCTTGATGTTTATGAAGAAGGCACTAATCATTCGTTTCTTTGCCAGAAATATTTGAGAGCACTTTAAGAAAGTTCCTTTTACGTCTACGCTACTGCTTAGTGGATTACATGGAGATCTATAGTGTGAAAAGACTCTTTTAGGGCCAACAAAGGCCTTATCAGAAACATCCCTATAGCAATGGAGTGGTTTACATCATTTGATTTAATAGTCACAATTTTCAACCTAATCCTCTAACTATCCGTGTATGGTATAAATCAACCCATGCAATGTGATAGGTTGGGTATTACTACTACTCGGGAAGTCTAAAGAAAGAAACTGACAGTGAAAGCCTTCATAGAGAGACAAGTAACCAAATTATTTCTTCACCTAAATGCCCAGTTCATTAACGTGGAGCATATTTACACAGTACGCGGTACGTAGCGGGGCACGATACGGATTCTGGTACGCAATTCGCCACTTAGAAAATTTTTAGATTCATTAAGGGGTAGCTTACTTCTGTATGCAAGTTCGTTAGTAGTACGCTATAATTTTTTTTTGTGCTTGAAGTTTTCCAAATATATAGTAGAAACCCAGAAAGCTAATTATGAATTTTAATATTTTTTCATACAAAATACTTAAATACTTCTTTATGACAGAGTTTGTTTGTTTGTTCCCTTTTTTTTCACAAAGCTCGTTTTAGGATCATGATTTCATTTACATTTAATTAACATGAGTGTTTAAGTTATAGTAAAGTCATTGGCTCATAAATGTACTCTATTGCGTCTCCCTTCACTTAATTGCACACATTGCATTGTGTCTTGCACACATGCACTTAAAGAGATTCTGCATCTAGCATACTCGTAAGTAATATGCCAATTTTGAGGAATCGGTTCGTGTATCGAAGGGAATCGATTCGCAAATATAACGGTATCGGATCGTAGGGGGATCGGGGGAATCACACAACGATGATGTGGAGACCAAAAACCAAATATTCTTCCAAATAACAATGCCGATGGATTCAGACATAAGCACAAACCTAAAACTTCTGCTGCCTCCAGCATCTATTAACCAATATTCAAGTGCTTGCACATTCTCGACCATGTTAAGAGGGAATAACAAAGTGATTCAATATTATCCATACAAGGATAATGTAATTTGATAACTTTTCCAGCTGACCATTTTGCTTACAATTCTACCAGCACCAATATGAACCCGTCAAAGATTTCAGAACGCTGGAAATTTCTAACATAGGTCTCAAAGTGGAGCTAGTTTCCACTGGTGTGCAGGTTTGCCCTTATAGAGCGTATAGAAGAAGCAAATCAGCAAGAAGTGCAGTTGATTTCCACTGATATGAAGGTTTTCCCTTATGGAGGGTATCTAAAGAGTTGCGGTCTCTGTCACTTGCGATAGTCTTCGTGGAAGGAAGCTAGTTCAAGATAAGGTCAATCAGAGAAACAGGATTCTGCTGCTATTACAATTGCATGTTCTTGATGAGGATAATCCTTTCTTGAAGCAAAGGGAAGTATTGGCAAACATCGTACCTATTGGAAGGAAATGCAGAAAACCAGAATAAGGTAGCTCAACTCCAGGTGCAAGAGCCTGTCCACAGTGTCCAGACGTCGGAAAGTGTTAACCGGGGTCTCAGAGTGGAGGTAGATGAAAAGGTTTGGCGTGCAAAGCTGGTTGATAAACAGGGGTAGATCATCTCCTTAGCTTTTTATGCGTTCGTTAATTGTTTAAAATCAGTGTCATGAGCAAAATGTCATTTTAGTCTGTAGTACTCTATAAGTTACAAGTCATCTCTTGGCATTTGTTGACCATTTCTATATATTGACTAGATAATTGATAGTGGGTAATCGTAAGTTTTCTTTTGCATGCCTTATCTCTCAAAGCATTATTTGATGAGGAAGTGGTGATGCATATTGGAAATAAGATGGTTTCGCCAGATCCTAACTGTTAATTCACATACGCGCGTGTCTGAGTATCATCAGATATGGTTAAACTAACATTTAAACCGTGATCTGGTGTATTTTCGGCCATCGAAGTGAATTTGTGGACTACTTTATAACGGCATGGTTTCACTTTTCCAATTGACGAGGTTTAGAGACAAACTTCCTTCTTCTATTAATGGAGCTTCTCTTTATATCATGCATTCCTTTTCTTAAAAACATAAGGTTAATTTCCCTACTTTGTGAAGGAAGGTGTTTCTCATATGGTGTGTAGTGGCATGTGAAGGTGGTCGATCAATGCAGTGATGTGCTGAATTCCCCCTTGAAATGTTTGGTGCGTTGCAAGCGTCGGGCACTCGTATTTCTGGAAGTTTTCCTGAGCCTTTGCTTGGATCTCTTTGTGCTCTTGATGATTTGAAGTGTATGGTATAAACTAGCTACAGTTTTTCTTTTAAAAAAGTGAAATGTTTGTGCATAGTCAATGTACCAATCCTAGCACTAAACTTCCTACTGAAGCGGCATTGAGAAGTTAGCATAAAGCTGAGCGTATTCAAAGTCAAAATCTGGGTTCCGGTGCTCATACATATACGTATGATGATGTTTGATCTTATTGTACATCTCTATGATGACAATAACCTTGCTAGGATACGTTAGGAAGTAGGAAGCAATAAATGTACAGGGAAGCGTCTATCTTCAATTTTTACAACAAGCAACTTAAGGGCATATATTATGGGATGCTGTATTGTACCAGCATTAATTTGTTGGAGTTCATGTCTGTTCCACTTCCAGCACCAGCGTGTGCAAGATATTTAGTAAACGTGTGTTTAATATGGATAGTGTTGAAAAGATATTTTATGTTTCTAAATAGGTTACTTTAGTTTTCTTTGGATAGTATTCACTTGTTGCGTATGGTATTTAGTTTTCATGACTTTTTAATTGAGGATTTAGGTTTTTATGCTTTGTTGTTACATGTCCTCATTCCTGAGGTTATAGCTGTTATTGTGGGAAAAGTGACTTGATCCAATTGTGGATCAGTCCTTTTTATTATATAGATAGATAGATAGTTCAAGATTACAAGTGTACCTAATGTGGGACTAAAACACTTAATAAAGAAAATAGACACTAAAAGTATTATTTACTCTATTACTCCCCCTCAACCTGGTGCAAAGATGTCAATTATGCCCAGCTTGTTACAAAGTGCATCAAACAACGACCGTGGCAAGTCTTTTGTAAGTATGTCAGCAATCTGATCAGTCGATCGAACATGTGGAGTAACAATCTTCTTAGATAACACCATATCACGGATAAAATGATAACGCACTTCGATATGCCTCGTCTGCTCTTGATACACGGGATTGCTTGCAATGTAGATAGCTGCTTAATTGTTGTATGCACGAGAAATTGCGAGAAAATCGAGAATTGAATCTGTATTATTCTCTCTAACTGACTTAGAAAAAAAATGATTACAATCCTCTCAATATAACTTCTCTCTAACTGACTTAGAAAAAAAATTTATAATTCTCTTTATCGGTTCCCCGATTTACAAAAGAGGGAAGGATGAAACCCTCCCTTTGTTTAAAATCGGGTTCTTTCTTTATAACGATGGGAGTTTGAATCTTGTATCCCGTTGACAATCCGAACACTTCAACTTCGTGGGCTGTTGGTCTTCTCTCCTTGACTTGACACCTTGAGAGAACTTCCGAGGGAAGTTTATAACTCCAGCCGAGTTTGAGAACTCTCTATAAGAGTGTCAAGAACTTACAAGACAAGTTTGGAACTCTACACGAGTTTGGGGAAACTTGTTTGAATAAGTTGGAAACTCTCTATAAGAGAGTTGAGAACTCTAGGCGAGTTTGAATGAAACTTGTTTGAACAAGTTAGAAACTCTCTGTAAGAGAGTTGAGAACTCTAGCCGAGTTTGAATCCCCAAGAGGGGTTGATCTTAGAGAGGAGATGAACCTTCAAGAGAACTAACCAAAATGGGTTTAAAGAGCAAGTCAAGAGCTTCAAGAATGCTCCAAGAAGCCTCTCTCCTTCTCTTTCTTCTCTCCTTTTCTTTTCTTTTAGCTCCCTTTTCTCCTCTATTTCTCCTCTATTTTCCTCTATTTTCTCTCTGTTTTTTTTTTTGGGGGGGGGGGGGGGGGGGCATTG